TTTAAAAATAAAACTATAAATGAATGAGTGTTTAAAGTGATTTTGGTGTCAACATGGAGCCTACTATTGTAAGAGTGCAGTGTTATAATCCAATGAAAAAAACAAATCATTTTTTTTTAACATGAACCCATTAAGACCCCACATTTATATTTTACTATATGGTTTAAAACACTACTAAGTATTTATACAAATATTTTGAGAATTTTAAATTATGTACTTTTTGAAAAAAAATTGAATCAAAATATATATATGGATTTTGAACAAAATCTTTTCATTAATACCCTTGGCGTTCGTATGTCATTTGAAAGAGCATTTAAAATGCTGCAAAATGACACCTCTCCCAGCTTTCTAGCTGAATTAGGACAGCTTCCAGAGCAATTTAAAAAATACACGTTCACACTTTTTTCGCGAGTTTTTAAAAACTTTACATAGCCATATATCGGAAACGGTGTGAGATAAAAATTTAAAAATTGGTATTTTTCTTAGTCTTAGTACATAGTATAAGTATACCAAATTTTAAGAAAATCTGAGGTGGTGTGGTAAAATGGGTGTGTTGAGTTGACATGGACTAACCCTCGTGGCACATTAACATTTCATTGCATTAGGCCAATAACGAAGAAGAAAGTGTCAGCCAAGAGATACTCAAACGCAGAAAGCTCTGCCGAGGCCCTTGTTTCTAAGTAAATGTTTATATATTATTATATTATTGGAGTGATTTTAATAAACAATTGTCTTAGCACCAAAACCACCGTATTATTCACACCTTCTACAATCCCTCGACAAAACCTTCTTTTCTAGAACTACAGCAGTTCTATTAAATAGTTAATAATTTAAACATGTATACATAATAGTTTTAGTCATATGATTCACTTGATTTTACTTTTAAATTTATTAAACAAGTACAGTCCAACCTTTTTTATTCTTAACCACAAATACTAATTTGGTTTTGCTGTCAACTAATCTCCCAAATTTTTGACGTTGTCAAATTCCGAATAAAAAAAACAAACTCTATGTTATAGAGTATAGATATATCTATACTCTATAACTCGAAGTTTATAAGATATACTCCGTATGTCGAAGTAGGTGATGATATCAGTTTAAAATTTTCCCAAGCAATAAAGCTAAGAAAAGTTTTATTTTTTTTATTGGTCATTAAACTTTTTGTGTACCTTATGTTAATTTACCTTACCTTACATTTAAATTTTTTCACAAGTGCATTCATTAAATTTTTTGTTTACCTTATTTCGTTATTTTACCTTCTCTCTTTGTTTATATTTATGATTTAAACTAAGCACATATCTATATTTATTACCCTATGTTCCTTAACTCAAAAGAAGGTGATTGGTTATTTCTAGATTTTTACATATATGTATATGTATATATTAGGGTGAGCCAAAAAAACTAACCTATCGGATTTATGGGTTAAAATGAACCTACATACCGAGCAAAAAATTTCCCTGCAAGGCAAAATTTTTTGCTCAATTTTAAAAGGTGTTGGTGAGCATTCTTAGTTTTCCATTGAAATAACACGTAAAAAAATCTTTTTTCATTAAAAAGACTATAACTTTTGAACCGTTTGAGATAAAATTTTTTACGTCACGGATCCTTGTAGAGCATAAAATTTCCCAAAGAATCTATACCAGGATTATTTTTTTAAATTCAAAAATACGTATGTTTGAAAGCTTTGAAAAGTGTAAAAAATCACTAAAACTGCAGTTTGAAGTCTGTAGGTTGAATAGAACCGGAGATATAGGCAGTTGAATGAGGCCGTGTTTTCGATTTTTGGGCTTTTTTGCGAAATTTCAACCCCTTGTAACTTCTAAACTAGGGGTGTTAAAAATAAAAAAAAATGTTCTATCTATTCATTTGTTCCAAAGAACCTGTAGAAAAATTTATATTAAAATCAGAGAACTCAAGGTCATTTTTCACCTGTTTTTGTCCGGTTTGACGTGGAATGACTCAAATATGAAAAAAAGTTTTAGACAAAATCTACCTATTTTTAGTGGAATGATCCGAATCTGCAATAAAAAATAGGGTTTTCCATTGAAAATTTTAGTTACCCCCTGTCCCCCTATAAGGAGGGGAGTATAAGGACCAATTTTAGTACTGATTGATCCCCTCCTCGAATCATTTAGTTTTTATTCTAAGCACTTTTTCGTAAAATGCATCCTAACTGAGATATTTCAAAGTTTCAAGTCAAATGACTGTATATTACGATATATGACTGTATAGTAGGGTGGGCCGAAAATCCGCTTTTTTAGAATTTCGTTTAGTAATAGCAAAAATTTTGTTCATTATGTTGTAAAAAAAATTTGTGTAAAAGATTAAAATTTTCGATCAACATCCTAGGCTCGCCCAACGCAATTAAAGATCAAAATGTTCAAAAAAATTTTGATACTAAAATCGGGTTTATTTCTAAAACTATCCATCTGAAGTAATTTAGTGTAAGGACCTTTTTTGTAGAGCATAAAATTTCCGATCGAATTAAGTTAGGAAATTTTTTTTTTGAACATTTTGATCTTTAATTGCGCTGGGCGAGCCTAGGATGAGGATCGAAAATTTTAATCTTTTACACAAATTTTTTTTACAACATAATGAACAAATTTCTGAAACTATCCATCTGAAATAATTTTGTGTAGAGCATAAAATTTCCGATCAAAATAAATTAAGAAAAATTTTTTTTGAACATTTTGATCTTTAATTGCGTTGGGCGAGCCTAGGATGTTGATCGAAAATTTTAATCTTTTACACAAAATTTTTTTACAACATAATGAACAAAATTTTTGCTATTACTAAACGAAATTCTAAAAAAGCGGATTTTCGGCCCACCCTACTGTATAGGTATTACGATTCTACCCTAAAGTCAACAATATCCATTGAGATTTTGGCACTCTATTGTAGTTTTTTACCTTTCAAAAATAGACATTTTTGCCCGATTTTACTTTGAATTGTTATCAAAAACAGATCAAAGGAAAACTTAAAATCTTAGAATATGGAATTTTGTAACAGATCTAAGGTGTCAATTTCACAAAATTTATAAAAGTGCCAGTCTCAAAATAATTTTTACCAAGGTCATATTTTAATATTCCAATTATGGGGGCATCCCTTAATTACGTGAGGTGTTTAGGGGGGAGGGGGTCGAGCCAAACCTCACCCAATCTCACGTAGTAGGGGTTAGGGTGGTCTTAGCAAATATCAGTGATAATATCACGTAATTTTTTTTCAGAAAGAAACTGTAAAATTTCGAGAAAACTTAAAAAAACGTGTTAAATTAAGAAAAAAATGTTTCTCCACTAAAGGCGGGTTTATACAACAATTGATAATTTAGGGGAAAATTTATTTCATAACTCAATTGTTAATTTAATGCATAATTTAATACATAATACATAACTTTAAAATCTGGTTTATACAATTCATTAATTTAATATATATTTTATTTTTTCCGCCTTAAGGCGGGTTTATACAACAATTGATAATTTAGTGGAAAATTTATTTTATAACTCAATTGTTAATTGAATGCGGGTTTATACAACAATTGATAATTTAGGGGACAATTTATTTCATAACTCAATTGTTAATTTAATGCATAATTTAATACATAATACATAACTTTAAAATCTGGTTTATACAATTCATTAATTTAATATATATTTTATTTTTTCCGCCTTAAGGCGGGTTTATACAACAATTGATAATTTAGTGGAAAATTTATTTTATAACTCAATTGTTAATTGAATGCATAATTTAATACATAATACATAACTTTAAAATCTGGTTTATACAATTCATTAATTTAGTAAATATTTTATTTTTTTAATTGACAATATTGATTATTGAAAGTTGCAAGTGACACAAAATCCATCATTGAAACTCATGTTATGTAGAAACTTTGTATAGGCACAAACACAAAACACAATAATTATTAATCATAACCTTATAAAATGGAGAGATAAAAATTGTTGGCACATGCGCGGTGTAATTTTATTTATAATAATTTATTTCATAAAAGTTAAATTTTGTGAACTTTCAAGGTTATTAAATTAAAACACTAAATTGTGAGTTACGCATTAAATCCTTGTATAAACTGTTTCATAGCAGATAGTGCGATTTAACTTTTATGCTTATGCACTAAATTGTGAATTATGAAATAAATTAATGTTATGAAGTTGTATAAACCCGCCATAACACTGTTTATTGGAAAAACGGTAAAAACTCAACCCACGATTTCCTTTCAAATACACCCAACAAATCGATCCACGGTTTTTTTTCAATATTTTTTAAAATTTTCCGGCTTCATTCTCAAAAACACTCGTTTGTAACATAAGCGTTTGACAGCTGATTATCAGTGAAAAGTGTAAACATTTTAATTCAGTAAAAATCATCAAACAAATAAGATGTCTAAATTCAAACAGCATTTAGCATTAAAAGCGTTGTTTAAGAAAGTCTCCATTCAACGGTAGGTATATATATATATATATATATATTATGTATTATATATAATAATATGTTGCCATGAATTCGTAGGTATATTTTGTTGTTTAAAATGTCGGCGTTTTTTAGAGAACTATATAAATATAAAAATGGTTGATTTTAAGGTTATGTTCGTGCAAAAATAATTTTTTAGTAATTTCTTAAAAATGTCCAAACTTTTTTCCTTGCAACGTAAAACACAAATAACGTGCGCGATTTAGCTGTGCAACTGAACATTTGTCGAGTAAGACTTCTTATTTAAAAATGATGTATAATCTGTGCTTTAAATGTATTGTTGACAATTCTTAAATTCACACAATGCAATCGAAGTCTACCAGATGGCGCGCGCGTTGCGAAAACCCAATACTTCTTTAGCATATTATTAAAACTGCATTTTAAAAATCTCAAGTGAGATTAAGGGTGGGGGAAGCCCCCCCTTAGTCATGAGCTGGCCTATCAGTTCTTTAAGGAATATTGTTGAATTTTGGGACACCCTGTATAAGCAATTCTATATGCATTAATTATCTTACAGCACGTCCTCCAGGATACTTCACTTCCAGATTGTCAAAACATAACTTTTCAATTGCAGGTCCACAACTTCTTGCTAAAAAGTATGCTGTACCTTGTTCTTTATAATAATTTGTTGGTAGTAAATCCAAAGGATAAACATGCTGGATAAGGGTCATTAGAAGATCATCTCTATCTATATTTAAGGCATTTTTAACCTATAAGTACAAAATTAAAATAAGTTATACACAATTTAATTTAAATTAATAAAATAATCTTACTGTAAATTTATGCCAATAATTCGTATCATAAATCTTCGATTTATTTCTGTAGACAACTCCATTTGGCAAATTTCTTTCATTTATTAGAATACTATCACTTAAAGCCGGTTGTTGGGTTATATTCAACATGCTCAACTTATAAGAAACAACACTATAGTATCTCTTCACTCAACGCTAGTTTTATAACATGTATACCTAAATAATAAATATATACATAGATAATAAATCATGCATGTATATGAAATTACGCTTTAAATTATCTTTAATCCAAAATTTTAGAATACCGATATAAGCAAGTATTAATTTTTGACAGAAAAGCAGAACAATGTTTTTGACATTAAAAAATAGTTCAAATGTGCTTTAAGGGACCTTTACATGATAGTTATTTAATTTAATTTAAATTGTTAACGCATATGAATATTACAGGTTTAAAATTAAAAAGTGCTATTATTATAGTTGAACAAAATAAATATTTATTGTGTTCTGAATTAAAAAAATTCCAAGTTTAATAAAACTACTAAAATGAATAATAGTTCGATTTGCTACACACATAAATATTTTAAGTGATTTTAACACTTGTTGCTGGTCAAAATGGTGCATTGATTCCGAGACCATTAAGGCGTTGTGCCACCAAGAAAGAAGAAGAAGAAGAAGATTTTAAGTCAACATTTTTGACTGATGTAGTGGTACATTTTTCTTAATTTAATATCTGACTTGTATTGAAAAATGAGTAAAATGATAGGAACCTATTATTTTGTAATAGTTGGGCACAAGGATAAACCACTTTTTGAATTGGAATTTACAAACAGTAAAGACCCTAAGGTAAATAATAAAATAAATAAATAACGTATTAATCCTTATGTAAATACATACAAGGTAAGGCAGTGCTGCCAGAGCAGATGGTCGGATAATCCGTATATATTCGTGGAAAGGGTGGGGGGAAGCCTCGAAAAATCCGTAAAAATCCGTTTTTGTCTAAATTTCGAAAAATTTCTTCTATAAGGGGGATTTTCGTGACAAAACATACCTTTCGTCAAAGAAAATCCGAAACATCTCAGAATTTTGAACCTCTTAAGAGGTTCAAACTTCTGAAACTCGAATTCGTCAGTGATATAATTCTCGTCACTTTCCATTTTTCACAAAATAAAGTATTTTATATACAGATTCGGATATATAATAAACATTGACTTTGAGATCAAAATATTGCCACAATGCAGTTCAATGCACTGAACTGGAGTCAGTATTGGTTAGTCGTTACTATTGGTGGCATTGCGCCGCTTATATATTGGCAGCAATAACAACGTGTTATAAAACCTTAACAAATGATATGAAACTATCGTTCTCTTTGTCACACTCAATGAAAAAGCATATGTTTCGCATATATTCGGCGTTTATATTAAGAACACATCCATTTTCAATCCGCTTTCTTTTTCTGTCTAACGTAGTAAAAAGGAAGAGGAATAGAAGCGTGACAAAGATGATCAAAAAACGGGGCAAAAATGATGTTTTTTTAGTATTAGTATGAAGCTATCTTAAAAATCCGTAAAAATCCGTATTTGATGAAAATCCGTTCAAAATCCGTTTCCAATTTCTCTAGACCTGGAAAATCCGTAAAAAACGGATAAATCCGTTCATCTGGCAGCACTGAGGTAAGGTTACAAGGTGTATGTATCTTGAGGTTACAACATTAATAATAATAATAAATTTATTTGCCCAACAGAAAAAATTCCAATTACAGGACAAAGAACAAAAAATAAAAACTATAGTAACAGCATAATAGCAAAAATATAAAATAACTTATACATAGTAGTCCAGTCATCTAGGCATTTCACCTCGGAATCTAACGGAATAAGCTGAATTTTTGTACAAACCTTTATTTTAGCATTGCAAATGTTGTCTCAAAAGTCACATATGAAAACGTGTGAGCGGCCTTAGATATTCAAGGTCAAAGGTCGCAAAAATCAATTTTTTGAGAATATCTTCTTTTCTCTGCCTCCTATCGTATTTGCATTTATTATACAAGTTGTAGAGAATAAAATTCTCTAGAAATTTTGTTTCAAACATTTTTTTGTACGTTTAATCGTTTTTGAGATAGAGGGCGCAGAATGTGGAGCGCTCAGCCATACGTACCTTTAGCGCAAGGTAAATCATGAATCCTAATCTATTTAATTAATTATTTATTAAATATTACTTAAATAACAATTTAAAACCTTATATTTATTTTTATATATATTTTTAAAACAGATAGTCATTAAATATTACTTACTTTTGACATACAAATAATTAAATAATGAAGTGAATCATTCTAAATATATTCTAATGTTATTCTAATTAATTATAAATGCATTTTAAGAAGAAAAGACATTAAATGAATTTGCCTTGAATATGTCTCTGGTCATCTCTTGGATCCAGATATTGCTTTTAAAATAACAGACCTGGAAATACTATAGTGGGCTTGCTATAAATAAAAAGGTTAGGTATACCTATATTTAAAGCAAGTTGTGACCCTAGGTATAGGTCTAGGGTTGTGACAGATAATATTCGTAATATTTTAAAGGTTATGTAAGGTACCCTAGGTATTTTCGTAACCCGATTCTTTAAGTATAGTGAAATACTTATTTTGGCATATTCGTGATCGTCTAGTTAATTTACTTACTTTATAAAAATTAGGACTCTACGTTGTGTATTTACTTACATTGATAATAACGTTATTTTGAAATTGGTCAGGTTTAATGAAACACAAGCATTTAATTTTTAAACCCCTGATTTAATTTAAGCAAAGACAAAGGGGTGGCCCGTTGAGTCAAAGCACAGGGAAAAGGGACCATAAAAACCCTGTCGACTTACACAGTTCAAATAAAATTAAATTACAAAACAAAACATAGTCATATGGGTCATAATCACAAGAATACAGTATAAATAATAAGTGAATAAAATAACATAAAAAGCAGATAAACATATTTCATAGAATTTGGGTGTTTTTATCAATATTCAAAACATTTTGTACTCAGGTAAAATAGTTATAATAGAGATCGTCATTTTATGACCAAGTGTTTGTTTACCTTACCACGCATCTTCGAACTATTGAACAAGGATACGATTTTATATAAATAAACTACAGCAACGACATATTTCTGGTAGAGAGAATTCAAATGCCTTTAAAGGGGAGGGAGACATGGAAAAATATAATCTAATGCAGATATTTAACCGTAGCCAATAACCACACTATGGAACAATAGCATCTCTGTGAAGTGATATAACGAAACCTAATGTCCTTATCTCACTATAGTATCCCTATATCACAATATGTTCAAATATTCTCACAAAATCAATGTCCAGAACAAGACAAAAGTATTGCGAAAATATACAAACAATTCTGCACACAGAGTTTATAGAGGTAATAACATAAAAACACTATTTTTCTTCTAAGGATAAATCCTTTTGAAATAATGCTAATATATTACCCATGTTCAAATATTCATGTATGAACACTCTCCAAACGAAAACACAAGTACAAATACAGACACAAATAAAATAAACAATATGCAATAAAATAAAATGGTATAAAATATAAATAAAATACAATAAAATAATAAATAGGAGAGAATCATAACAAGAAACACCTGAACATGGCCAAAACTCTAACCACCAGAAAGTATCGCGCTGAATAATAACATAAAGAGATTTTTATCATATATAGTAACGTTAAAGCCATTATCAAATATTCCAAATAAAGCGCTAAGATAAGCAGTTTAAATCAAAGTCTCTATCCAGAATCTATCAAAAGGTTAAACGATACTATTACCTTACCATGATATGACCTAATGGTAATATCAAATTTAATAATAATAATAAGAGCAATAATAATAATAATAATAATAATAATAATAATAATAATAATAATAATAATAACATTTTATAAACCTTACCCAAATAATACCAATATTATAATAATAATATTATCGTTAAAAGTTTTAGCCTGAGTACAAATGCAAAGAGTTAAAATAAATAAATACCTTAATACCGAGATTATACACTGAGTTTCAAAAACAATAAAATACATTTCAGTTAAATAAAAGTTATACAAAGTTATACAAAAGGAAACAGCAAAATCAAGGCCAGTGTAACTCAAAATAAAGACAATACAAAATATTAAAATTTAAGTTAAATGTAATTAATTCAGTGTATATGATGAACGCGACAACATAAAGATTAGAACTCAGTGTATGCGAGATACCAAGGTATTAAACCAAAATAATGAAATAGTGATACAATAAAAAAATATTACCAAAAATCACTCGCTATTTACACATTAATATTATTAAAATGATTAGGACCCAATAAACTAGCAATGATAAACAACATAGACCAAGATGCGAATTAAATAATATTGTTCAAAATTATAAGCAAAAATATATTAAGAAAACACAAAACGAGAAGTTGTTTATCATTACTAGCAACAATTACAATTTAGAAAAGTGTACATACCTAGTTATAGCAGAAAATCGGTAACAATCACAAAAACTATAACTATATTATAATTATATTTCACAAACGGTTTAACAGGAGTATCTCGAAGGGCGAGCAAAAACCCTCTGTGTCTATGATATTTCCTAATCTCGCTTTTAAACTCTATGCCACTTAAGTAAGAATGTCTAACATAAACAGTCTCCCTAATATTCCTACGCTCAGATACAAAGAAGTGAAACTTTAAACGCAATAGATTTTAAACATAAAATATCTTAAAACTATAATATTATTTTTAGTGGATTATTTAAATTTTCTTTGGTTAAAATAGCGCCAAATTTGAATTTAAAAGTTTATATACTACAGGACCCTTACAGACGCCCCTTTGGAAGATTGGCAGACGGAGTCTTGGAGGCTTGGCAAACTTTCAACATCCTTTCGTCAAATTTGGCCGAACTCATCTGAACGTAGGGCTTGTTGTTGTTCTCAGTCAGGAATATCGTACATAAAAAAGAAAACAAATAAAATCAGGGTTTTATCGCAATAATAATATAAATAAATAAAAAAAAGTAACAATAAAATAAAATTGAAATACAGTAGGGACCTAGTCAAAATAAAATGGATAAATTAATAAAATCAATAAAATGAAAAGAACCCACCTGGAAAACATTATTGTAATGAAGAAATGAAGAAATATGGCAGTCTGTTAAATCATTCCATTTGCCTTCTGCTCATAGTATTTATGATTTAGAATAACCAACGCCCCTTAGAATATTGTCCCGTCCATGTCTTGAGTCATCTACACTTTTACTTCTTCAATTTTTTTAAAATCAGGTACCATCTCCATTCATCAAATGTAG